CATACTCAATGGGCAGAAACTAAAAGCATTTCCCCTAGGAACAGGAACAACACAGGGATGCCCACTTTCGCCATTATTATTTAACATAGTATTGTAAGTCTTTGCCACAGCAATCAGACAGGAAGTAAAAATAAAAAAGATCCAAATTGGAAAGGAGAAAGTGAAACTGTCATTATTTGCAGATGACATGATATTATACATAGAAAACCCTAAAGACTCCATCAAAAGTCTACTAAACTTAATAAATGAATTTGGCAAAGTAGCAGGATACAAAATTAATGTCAAAAAATCAATGGCACACTTATACACCAATGATGAACTCACACAAAGAGAAACTGAAAAAACAATCCCATTTACAATCATGGCAAAAAATCAAGATACCTAGGAATAAACTTAACCAACGAAGTAAAGGACCTATTTGCAGAAAACATTGAAAAAAGAAATAGAGGAAGATATTTTAAAAAGTGGAAGCACATACCTTGTTCATAGATTGGAAGAATTAATATAATTAAAATGTCCATATTACCCAAAGCAATCTATAGATTCAATGCAATCCCCATCAAAATACCAATGACATATTTCACAGAACTAGAAGAAATACTTCAAAAGTTCTTATGTAACCAAAAAGACCCCGAATAGGCACAGCAATATTAAAAAAGAAGGACAAAGTAGGTGGGATCACAATACCAGATATAAGGTTATACTACAAAGCTACTGTAATCAAAACATCCTGGCACAGGCACAAGAACAGGCATATAGACCAGTGGAAAAGAACAGAGAACCCAGAAATGAACCCAAGACTTTATGCTCAATTAATATTTGACAAAGGAGGCAAGAGCATACAATGAAGTAAAGATAGCCTCCTTAATAAATGGTGTTGGGAAAATTGGACAGCTACATGCAAAAAAATGAAACTAGACCATCAACTTACACCATACACAAAAATAAACTCAAAATGGATAAAAGACTTAAATGTGACACATGAATCCATAAAGAGCCTAGAAGAAACTGTAGGCAACAAAATTTCAGACATCATATGCAGAAGAATTTTCATTGATACATCACCTAAGGCAACAGAAACAAAGAAAAAAATGAACACATGGCACTACATCAAACTAAATAGCTTCTGCACTGCAAAAGAAGCAACCTCAAAATGGAAAAGCAACCCACTGTATGAAAGAGCATCACCGCCAATGATACATCAGATAAGGGGTTAATTTCCAAAACATATAGAGTACTCATACAACTCCACAAAAGGAAGACAAAGAACCCAATTAAAAAATGGGCAGAGGAGTTAAATAGACACCTCTCCAAACAGGACATACAAATGGCTAGGAGACAAATGAAGAAATGCACAACATCACTAATCATCAGAGAGATGCAAATTTAAACAACAATGAGGTATCACCTCACATCTGTTAGAATGACCGCCATCAACAAATCATCAAACAACAAGTGTTGGCAAGAGTGTGGAGAAACTGGGACTCTAGTACACTGCTGGTGGGAATGCAGACTGGTGCAGCCACTGTGGAAAACACTAATCTGTTACCTCAAAAAATTAAAAATTGAATTGCCATTTAACCCAGTGATCCCACTCTAGGAGTATACCACAAGAAGCCTGAAACACCAATCAGAAAGAATATATGTACCCCCATGTTTATATCAGCACTATTTATAGTAGCTAAGATCTGGAAACAGTCCAAATGTCCATCGGTAGAAGAATGAATTTAAAAAGCTGTGGTACATATACACAATGAAGTACTATGCAGCTGTAGAAAAGAAAAATCTCTTATCCTTTGAGACAACATGGAGGGACCTGGAAAGTATCATCCTAAGCCAAACAAGCCAAACAGAGAATGACAAGTATCATGTGATCTCACTTATTTGTGGAATATAATGACCATAACAATCTGAGAAATGGGGTAGTCCCAGAGATGTGGAAGTGGGGTACGTACTGACAATCCCCAGAACAGGGGGTGGTGGGGGAGAGCTAAACCACAGAACTTATATGCATGTGTGCAAAAACAATGGACATGGACAACAAAGCTGGGGACAGGACAGGGAGGGAGAGGGAGGGGGGAATCAGTGGGGGAATAAGGAGAAACATCTGTAACAAAAATAAATTAATTAATAAAAAATAAGTGATGCCTTCATATGGTCTAAATGGGCTTTTAAAAACTATTTAATAATTTACTAATGTAGGATATTTATATATATATACATAATAGATAAAAATAAAATATAAACACAATGTTCTTTCTCATAACACTTTCCAACAAATCTTCATTTTATTGTAGGCAGCACGTAGAATTATCACTGCCCCCCCCCTCCTTTTTTTTAGTGTAGTAATTGAGACTCAAAAGATAAGTTGTTCATCCAAGGTCACATAGGTAATGAGCATCTGCATAGAAGTTAGGCCTCCTGATGTCTTTTTCTGAGCCACTTCCCTAACTAATTCACCTATACCCACCTCTGTGCATACCATCTAAACTCGGTCTCTGTTTCACTGGGTTCATCCATTTTATCACTCAACATTTACAAAGTACCCATTGTCTGCCAGCCACAGGTGTAGGAGGAAGTATACAGCATTCACTGAATAAGCCAGAGTTGCCTATTTCAATCCTAGCTCTACCACTTGTCATCTAGGTGTCCCTGGATAAGTTACTTCATCTCTCTGTGCCTCAATTTCTTTAGTCTATAAAATCGGCAAATAAAATTCTACATCTCTCGCCCTGGCCAGTTTGGCTCAGCGGTTAGAGCGTCGGCCTGCGGTCCGAAGAGACCCGAGTTCGGTTCCCGCTAAGGGCACGTGCCTCGGTTGCAGTTTGTCCCCGGCCCTGGTTGGTCGTGCGGGTGGCAGCCACTCGATGTGTCCCTTCACGTCGATGTTTCTCTCTCTCTCCCTTCCTCTCTCTCCCTCCCACTCTATCTGTACAAAAAATGGAAAAGTATCCTCGGGTGAGGATTAAAAAAAAAAAAAAAAAAAAAAATTCTACATCTCTCACAGGGCTGTTGATAATTAAATGAGAGGATACTTAGCAATATGAGCTGCTTTTATTATTCTAGGTTCTGAGGATAAAGTCTCAAATCAGACAAGAGCCTTAGCCTCAAGGAGCTTTCCTGTACTGGGAAACACATTAAACAAGTAAATCACTAATATTAGTTTCAAATAGTGATGAATGAGCACTATGAAAAAAAGATGTGTGACAGGGTGGGTGGGAAGATACTTTAAGTGGTCAGAGAAGAATATTCAGATATTGTAACTATAAGAATGATAAGATCCAGATATAAAAGCTGGGGGACAAGGACTAGGACTTGGAAAAGAAGCTTTAATTAGAATTGCAATGCAGCCAACAGACTTCATAGGAAAGCAAGCACTGAAACAGATTAAAGCCAAGGGGCTGAAACAGAGACTGGTCTGCCTCACCTTGGCAACAGACAATGTTGATTGAGAGGGAAATGAAAGCATCTGGTACAATGGCAAGATGGTTGGCAACACCATGTTTGGAAGCTAATTTATAGCATCCAGAAGAGTCTGGCTTTTGCATATGTCCCTACAGAGCTAAGTAAGGTAGGACAAGTGGAAGTTGAACTATTAGGCAAATATTACTCAGCAACCATCATATCATACAAGGACTCTTGGTATTGATGGAACCAACCAGAAACCAGCTTCAGAAAAATGTTGGAAAGGACAAAATTTGAAAAGACCTTCAGCAGTCAACTGAATTATGGTTGCTATATGACTGTACTCATAACTATAATTAATTTGTAGGGAAATGGGGAAAACCAAGGATTCATTTCAAAATCGTCAAAATCTAGATTTAGAATCTTCAACCCTCCTGTTTTCTCAGCATACATTAATGGATTAGTGCTTTATATTGTTTCAAATGAAAAAATTAGAAATGACTGTTTTTATTATCCTATATTGTTTCCTATAAAATTAAATCAGTAAAACATTTAGACATTTGCTAATATACAATCATTATTACAACAGAATTAGAAGACATTATATAATTTTAGGAACATATGCCTATGGTTATTAGCTGAAAACTAATAAATTGTGTTGGTGGTGGGCAACAGAAAATGCAGTGGTCTGTGCTTGGAGCAAGCTGACATCTTGCTGGGACAAGGAGGTCCTGAGGCTAGTGACTAGATGAGGGGTGGGGAGTGGGAGGTCAGAGATGGTCAGAGAGATCAGCAGCACAGCTTTGTAAAATAAGGTCATTCTTATTCACCTTAAATGCACTAGGTATTCATTAAAACCCTTACTTATACCCTGGCCAGTTGGTTAAGTTGGTTGGAGCACTGCCTAATATACCAGAATGTTGCAGATTCCATTCCTGGTCAGAGCACATACCTAGCTTGTGGGGACTGCATAAGGGAGGCAACCGATCATGTTTTTCTCACACTGATATCTCTCTCTCTCTCTCTCTCTCTCTCTCTCTAAAAATCAGTAAACATGTCCTCGGGTGTAGAAAAAAAAAAATCCTTGCCTGGAATTTTAAGCATGGGAAAGAGTTTCTGATTTGAATCACACACAACTTCTAATGTGCCCCTTTGGCTGCAGTGTTGAGAAGCCCAGAGCCTCTAGTTAAGAGGCTGTTGCAATTGTCCAGGATTGTAAGCAGCATCTCATGTACCGGTAACAAGACGTTTGCACTTGTGCGACTAACAGATCCAGGTCTGTAACTATTAAGTCAAATGAGACCGGAATGAGGCCTCACCACCTCTCTCGCTCTCCACTTTCTCCCGATGCCAGCAAAGTGTGAAGCACCTGGGACCTGGGCACTTCCAGAGCCTCACCTTTCCTCATTTACTGGGCGGAGGAAGAGATCTCACAACCATGGTGTAGGGTAGTGCTCCACCGGCGAGGTGTGCCCACCCGCTTTCGGCCAGCACCTCCCATTAGGCCTGCCCGGACTCTGCACCCTCGGGCGCCCTCCATGCCCACCCTGCCCCAGGATCGCTCCGCTCGGTGCGCCCTCCAACGGCCCGCTCACCCGGATGCCCTGCAGCACCCGGACCCGCTCCTCCTCGTCCATTCCGCCGAAGGACACTCTGCAGCCCTCACTACTCTCGGTGCCCCCCATAGCAGGAGACCGGTAGGCAGGCGGGCGGGCAAGCGAATCCGGATCCAGAGCAACCAGGAAGACGCTGAACGGTGGCTTCCCGGACTCCGTCTGCTGTGGCACAAGCCAACAAAAACACGTTTCATTGGACGCCTGCAGAGGCTCAGTTAATCATGTGGCGTGGGGCCGCGGCGTATTTGGGGAATTGTAGTTCCACCGGCCCGCCCAGCCCTTCTGTATAACTTGGAGGCCTGGGAGGCGTGGTGTGGGAGGTGTTGTGTGGGCAGCTTGGAAAACGCTTTGAAACTCAAGTCCCTCGTGCCTATACGCAGAGCGCCTCCAATAGCACGCTAAGGAGCAAGAGTGAGAGGGGCAGTACTTGCTTTGGAAAGGTCACCCTTGAAGCAGAGCTGAAGGTGATATCATGCCAAGAGACCACCGAGGGGGCTGAACCAAGCTTGTAATGGTGAACTTTTTATGGTTCTTGGCTTGGTTCATTCAGCAAACTGATATTGAATACAAGCAAGCATTGACCTAGCCACGGGGAATACAACGACTAACTAGACCTGTCCTGCCATTCTGCTTTTTACAAATCATGGAGGGAACAAATGAAAAGACAAGCAAGCGTGTAAATAAACTTGCTAACCACTGTGATAAATGCTATGAACGAAATTAGGAGGAGCCCTCCTTTAATTTGAGAGGCTAGAGCAACCTTACTGAGGAAGAAGTATTTGAATTGAGATCTAAGGTCTAGTGAAGAGTTGAGGAGAGGATGGGGAAACAACTTTGCTGGGAACCAACCATGCAAAGGCCCTGAGTCAGGAAAGACCTTGTCACATTCAAGAAGACAAAGGGTCTAACTGCATAAATGAAAACTGAAAAACAAGCAGAAGCAAGCTGGAGACAAGCAGGTCAGACCATGGAGAGCCTTATAGGCCCAGGTCAGAGTTTTATTCTTCAGAGAGCAGTGAATGGTCCTAAGCATTTAGGAGATGTTCTCCAAGGAGTATACATACTATGCATTGAGTGCAGCGTGTTTGCTTCTAACACAGAGTCATAAGTATAATGGAGGAACACAAATGAGTGCTATTCACAGTCACAGAAACCATGAATGAAGGCCTCGCTTGTTCATCTGAATTGCTAAATGGCTTTCATATGGCAAAGTGGGCCTGGAGTTGAGTTTGGAATCTGGAACTGGGGAACACTGGATTGCTACATGAAATAGTAAAAGTGATTTGGAGCTCCTCCTGGCCATCTGGAAAGAAAGGAGTGAGGAGGAGAGAGTAAATGAGAGAGACCAGTGAGACACTCTGATATGAGAACAGCTTAGATAAAGAAGCCTATGAAGCATAAAAAATTCACATCAAGAAATCGATGGTGCCCTGGCCAGTTTGGCTCAGTGGTTACAGCGTCAGCGTGCGGTCCAGAGAGACCCGGGTTCGGTTCCCGCTAAGGGCATGTACCTCAGTTGCAGTTTGTCCCCGGCCCTGGTTGGTCGTGCGGGCGGCAGCCACTCGATGTGTCCCTTTCACGTCGATGTTTCTCTCTCTCTCTCTCTCTCTCTCTCTCCCTCTCTCTCTCCCTCTCCCTCTCCCTCTCCCTCTCCCTCTCCCTCTCCCTCTCCCTCTCCGTCTCCCTCTCTCTCCCTCCCACTCTATCTGTACAAAAAATGGAAAAATGTCCTCGGGTGAGGATAAAAAAAAGAAATTGATGGCATTCTTATACACCAATGATGAACTCACAGAAAGAGAAACAAACCAAAAAATCCCATTTACCATCACAGTAAAAAAAAGTAAGATATCTAGGAATAAACTTAACCAAAGAAATAAAAAATCTATTCGCAAAAAACTACAAGTCATTGAAAAAAGAAATAGAGGAAGATATAAAGAAGTGGAAGCACACATCTTGTTCATGAATTGGAAGACTTAACATAATTAAAATGTCCATATTACCCAAAGCAATCTATAGATTCTATGAAATCCCCATCAAAATACCAACCACATACATCACAGAACTAAAACAAATATTTCAAAAGTTCATATAGAACCAAAAAAGACTTCGAATAGCCACAGCAACCTTGAAAAAGAAGGACAAAGTTGGAGGGATCAAATTACCAGATTTCAGGTTATACTACAAAGCCACTGTAATCAAAACAGCCTGATACTGGCACAAGAACAGGAATATAGACAAGGGGAACAGAACAGAGAACCCAGAAATGAACCCAAGGCAATATGCTCAATTAATATTTGACAAAGGTGGCAAGAGCATACAGTGAAGTAAAGACAGCCTCTTTAATAAATGGTGTTGGGAAAATTGGATAGCTACATGCAAAAAAATGAAACTAGACCATCAACTTATACCATACACAAGAATAAACTCAAAATGGATGAAAGACTTAAATGTGACACATGAATCTATGAAGAGCCTAAAGGAAACTGCAGGCAACAAAATTTCAGACATCATACACAACAGAATTTTCACTGATACATCACCTAAGGAAATAGATACAAAGGAGAAAATGAACACATGGCACTACATCAAACTAAATAGCTTCTGCACTGCAAAAGAAACAACCATCAAAATGGAAAGGCAACCCCCATTGCCAATGATATATCAGATAAGGGGTTAACTTCCAATATATATAGAGTACTCATACAACTCCACAAAAGGAAGACAAAGAACCCAATTAAAAAATGAGCAGAGGAACTAAATAGACACCTCTCCAAACAGGACATAAAAATGGCTAAGAGACATATGAAGAAATGCTCAACATCACTAATCATCAGAGGGATGCAAATTAAAACAAAACCTCACACCTCTCAGAATGGCCACCATCAACAAATCATCAAACAACAAGTGTTGGCGAGGGTTTGGAGAAAAGGGGACTCAAGTACACTTCTGGTGGGAATGCAGACTGGTGCAGCCATTGTGGGAAACACTACAGTGTTACCACAAAAAATTGAAAATTGAACTTTCATTTGACCCAGTAATCACACTTCTAGGAGTATACCCTAAGAAGCCTGAAACACCAGTCAGAAAGAATATATGTACCCCCATCTTTGTATCATCACTATTTACAATCGCTAAGATCTGGAAACAGCCCAAGTGTCCATCAGTAGACGAATGGCCAAAAAAGCTGTGGTACATAGACACAATGGAGTACTATGCAGCTGTAAGAAAGAAAGATTTCTTATCCTTTGAGATGACGTGGAGGGACCTGGAAAGTATTATCCTAAGTGAAACAAGCCAAACAAAGACAAATATCATATGATCTCACTTTTTTGTGGAATATAATGAACATAATAGTCTGAGGAATGGGGTAGTCTCAGAGATGTGGAAGTGGGTTACAGACAGACAATCCCCAGAACAGGGGATGGTGGGTTAGAGATAAACCACAGAACTTATACGCATGTGTGCATGAAAAATGTACATGGACAACAAAGCTGGGGACACGGTGAGGAGGGACAGGGAGGGAAGAATTAGTGGGGGGAAAAGAAGAAACATCTGTAACAATAATTAATTAATTAATTAATTAAAAAGAAAATAAATATGTCTTATCTCCTACTTATTCTTTAAATAAACAATTTCTCTTTTGCATTCTGGAAAAAAAAAAAAAGGAGCCTATGTACATTCCAGATGTTGGATAGCAAAAAGATTTTCATGAACAAGAACATATGCTAATTTTATTAAAAATCCTTTGAACTGACTTCCGGTCAAGATGGCAGGTAGGTAAACGCGGTATCACGTCCTCCCACAACCACATCAAAGTTACAACTAAACCACAAAACAACCATCATTCAAAACCGCCTGAAATCAAGCTGAATGGAAGTCCTACAACTACGGAATTAAAGCAGCAGCCACAGCCAGACTGGTAGGAGGGGCGGAGGCTTGAGGGCCGGTGGCGAGTCAGGCTTGTCCCACACCCACGTGTGGCGGATAAAAATCAGGAAGCTCTCTCAGCTGGGAAGGTCCTCCCTGAGGACTGAGGGGTCCTTGTCCCACACCAGGTGACCCGCTCAGGGTTCCAGTGCCAGGAAGAGAAGTCCCCATAACTTCTGGCTGGAAAAACCAGCGGGAATTGAGGCTCAGGGAAGCTGACGGCAGCTGGAGCCCCAGGCAGCTCCTTAAAGTGCCTGCGCATGAACTTATCGGACTCTCTCCCTCTAAGCTTGAAGGGGAGGCAGCTCGAGGGGCACCAGAGACATATAGGGAAGAACCGAGCTGTTTGGCACTGGAGAGAGGGCTGGAGAGGGGGCTTTCTCCGGGACAAACGTGCTATCAGAGGCCTTTGTTCCTTTGGCGAGCCCTTCCCTGGGGTGGCAGACAGTCGCCATATCTGGGACTCCAGCAACCTGCCTCACACTGGTAGCCTCGCCCTGGTGACTCCCTGTGGTCCTGCCCTGCCCCACCCAACTTTCAGGCCCACCCAAGCTGTTGCCACTTGCTTAACCATAGGATTGGCCTGTCTTGAATCCTGCTTCGATTCTTCCTAAATTCTTTCAAACGAGCAGCATCTGGTCTCAGCTAGCCCTCGTTAAGTAATACACAGAAACAAACACATGGAGGCAGCCATAATGAGGAGACAAAGAAACAGGTCCCAAATGAAAGAACAGAACAGAACCCCCCCAAAAAGCAAACCATCTATTTGGAATATAAGAAAACAAAAAACGCCCAATCAGAACAGCAAAAAGAAAAAAGAATCCAAAAAAATGAGGATAATGTAAGGAGCCTCTGGGACAACTTCAAGCGTGCCAACATTCGCATCTTGGGCGTGCCAGAAGGAGAAGAGCGAGAACAAGAAATCGAAAACCTGTTTGAAACGATAATGGCAGAAAACTTTCCTAACTTGGTGAAGGAAACAGACATACAAGTCCAGGAAGCACAGAGAGTCCCAAACAAGATGAACCCCAAGAGGCCCACACCAAGACACATCATCATCAAAATGCAAAAGGTTCAAAACAAAGAGAGAATCTGAAAAGCAGCAAGAGAAAGGCAGCTAGTTAACTACAAGGGAGTACCCATAAGGCTGTCAGT